ACGAAAACTGCGATATTTTAATAACTACTGAAGATAATTCACTCAAAATGGATATTTACAATAACTTTTAGACGAAAAATAAGAGTATTATAAATTTTTGGAAAATGGGCGTAGCCACGCTCACTTATGGTTACATGTGTATATCTTGGTAACCGCTGCACCAATTTCTTCCAAACTTGGCACAGTTGTTGGCCTTGATACAGCATACTAAATGGCCGAAAATTTTAAAAATCGGACAATAACCACGCCCACTTCCCATACAACGGTAATTTCCAGAAATACGAAAACTGCGATATTTTAGTAACTACTGAAGATTATTCACCCAAAATTGATATTTGTAATAACTTTCAGACGAAAAATAATAATATTATAAATTTTTGGAAAATGGGCGTAGCCACGCCCACTTATGGTTACATGTGTATATCTTGGTAACCGCTGCACCAATTTCTTCCAAACTTGGCACAATTGTTGGCCTCGATACAGCATACTAAATGGCCGAAAATTTAAAAAATCGGACAATAACCACGCCCACATCCCATATAACGGTAATTTAGAGAAATACAAAATCTTCGATAAATCATTAACTATTAACGCTAATTTATTCAAAATTTATGCTTGCAACAATTCTTTACCAAGAAATATTTTTATGGTAAAATTTTGTAAACTGGGCGTGGCACCGCCCACTTATGATAACATATACGTATATCGGTAACCGTTCTACCAATTTGTACCAAACTCGGTACGGTTATTGTGCTTGCCACATAAAAGCCAATTGTTAAAAATTATTGAAATCGGGCTAAAATTACGGCCGCTTTTCATATAACGGTAAATTTCAGAAATGCTTGAAACTGCAATATTTCGAAATTTAAGGACGCTACTCAAAATTGGTACACCCCGGTTTACCATCTAGCGGTAGCTTTCGGAAAGGTGAAAAACATATATTTAATACTTGCGCCTGGTATTTAATGTTCGGATCCGCCCGAACTTAGACTTTCTTACTTGTTTTAATTGTTCTTAGTTAGTCGTCTTTGACTTTAAAAAAAAAAAAATAAACTATAAAAATTTTAATTAACTAATAATAAAATAAGTAAAGCGAAATACAATAAAACAAACGAAAATATAATAAAGTAAATTTGAATATATTAATCAAATAAAATTAAAAAAAAATTAAGTAACAACAAAAACAATTTTTATGCCCGAGCGCACTTGTGCACAAGGGTATATTAATTTTGTTCACATAACGGTTGTTTGTAACAGCCAAAACGAATCGAGATAGATATAGACAAATGTATACATAAATGCTCATAATGAATAGAGAAGTCGATTAAGCCATGTCTGTCTGTCCGTCCGTCTATCCGTCTGTCCGTCGGTCCGTGTACACGATAACTCGAGCAAAAATTGAGATATCCCAACGCAATTTGGTATGTAGGTTTCCATTAATCCAAGGTAGGTTGGTATCGAAAATGGGCGAAATCGGACTGTAACCACGCCCACTGAAGATAATTCACTCAAAATTGATATTTACAATAATTTTCAGACGAAAAATAGAAATATTATAAATTTTTAGAAAATGGGCGTAGCCACGCCCACTTATGGTTACATGTGTATATATCTTGGTAACCGCTGCACCAATTTCATCCAAAACTTGGCACAGTTGATGGCCTTGGTACAGCATACTAAATTGCCGAAAATCTAAAAAATCGGACAATAACCACGCCCACATCCCATATAACGGTAATTTAGAGAAATACAAAATCTTCGATATTCAAAATTGATGCTTGCAACAATTCTTTACCAAGAAATACGCTTAGGGTAAAATTTTGGAAAATGGGCGTGGCACCGCCCACTTATGATCACATATATGTATATCGGTAACCGTTCCACCAATTTCTGCCAAACTCGGTATTTTTATTGTGCTTGCCCCATAAAAGCAGAACGTTGAAATTATTGAAATCGGACTAAAATTACGGGAGCTTTTCATATAACGGTAAATTTCAGAGATGCTTGAAACTGTAATATTTCGAAATTTAAGGACGCTAATTTACTCAAAACTGATACACCCCGGCTTACCATCTAGCGGTAGGTTTCGGAAGGGCGAAAAAACATATATTTAATACTTGCGCCGGGTATTTAATGTTCGGCTCCGCCCGAACTTAGACTTTCTTACTTGTTGTCAATGAGTACGAGGCGAGTGGTGCAGGGCCGGGATACTTCTGGATTATCCCTTTCTACACCCTGCATAGACCCATCAGGACGGACTTCCAGTTGTCCGTACTAATGTGAGCGTCCAGGTGGCCCTTGTCCAACACTGACAGCGCGAGGTACTCTTTGGCGGCCTCGCTGTATGTCTTCGTGGTGGGTACGGCCATGGACGGACGGTTAGTGGGAGAGGAAGCCCTATGCATCTTAGAACCACTTGACGTGTCGCCCTGAGATCGCTCTCTCCTAGAGGCTAGGTCCTTCCTTGGGTTTGCCTGAGTGCGTGGTTTGTCCTTCCCGCCTTTCCCAGAGGTTCGCTTGGCGAAGTCCCGCTGGGCCCAGACGGAGGTAAGAATTGTTTTTGCTGCTTTGGAGCAGCTGGGGTGCAGATCGAGGTCGTTTGCTCCGGTCATCGAAGTTTTACTCGCAGGAGTAGTCCTTTGCTTGTCCGTGTAGGACTTGGGCTCGGCTACTACCCCCTTCGAGTTGGATGTGCCCGGGGTGGCAAAGGAGAGGAGGGGCCATCCGTAGCTTTTCCACCGGCTTCGACTTTGCCTCACGGGGTATAGTTCTGCCGGTATCCCTTGAAGTTTGCTTTCCCTCTGGGGGTTTAGCCTTTCCTCCAGATTCTGCGGAAGACCGAAACTGCTTGGGCTGTGCAGCCCCTATCGTCGGTGCCGTCGATGCGGTTACCGAGATAGTAGGTTTTCTGGACTTTTCTTCGCCGTTTCTAGCGGCGGCACCGTGACGGTTTCGAGGCTGCTATATTATTATCCATTGTCATCTGGTTCTTTGGCCACCTACTAAGCAGAAGCCTTTCGGTGGTCGGACAAAGGGAAAGGGGAAAAACATGTCGCGGTAAGTCAACCTTTACTCCCTGAGGGGGGCAGGGATCCGGGAAGCGGCGTTAGAATACAGTCGGAAAGCCCCTGATTGTAAACCATCCAATGAGCCCGGTGACGCATGACACCCTGGATTAGGGGAGAGGGTAGATTCGACACCCTCCAGGACTAGATCCATTGTGTTCTGTGGAAACAGGGTCACCTCTTGAAAGAAGCTTTTCGCGCACTAAGGTCTTGATGTGGGAGTGGCTAGGCAAACCAGGTCCCCTGTGTGCTGTGTTACCCTTCATCCACACCCTGCATTTCGCTCGACCCCAAAACTTGCACTTATTTTACCAAAATTTATTAGCCTTCTAAATGCCTCCTCCAAAAATTTTATATTTTCGGGGATTTTTCTAAATGAAGTTTGAATGTTAAATTATGAACCACAAGTGTATAAAAAAATAACAAACAAATTTAGCTTGAAAAACATTGGAAATATTAAAAGCAAAACATCATTCGCCCACTCTTGACCGCCACTGTGTGTACATACATTAGGGTGGTCGAAGATAAGTAAAGTCAGAATTTTAATGCTCTCACTCCTAGGATTGTTCTGTATCGAAAAATATATAACCCCTTTTATTTATTTTGCAATCAAAAAATATTTAGAGGTCTCTCAAATCCCTCAAAGTTTTCCATGTATTTCATAGGGGTTAAATAAATTATTGGGTATTATTACTGGGAGTCTAATGAAGAGAAACAGAGTTTTCCGATCGAAAAATATTGATTTTCAAGAATTATATACCATTTCTACGAAAAGTGTTCTTTTTTCCTCCCTATAAAATAGCGACCTATAAATATTTTTTGATTTCAAAATAAAAAAAATAGGGGTATATTTTTCGGTATAGAGCAATTTCAGGGGGTGAGAACTTAAAAATTCCGACTTTACTTTGTCACATGCATTTTTGTTTAAAAACACCCACATTTATGTGTGATCAAAGCAAGGCGATTTCGTTAGTGAGTGAGTGAAAACGTGAGAGTGTTTGTATTTTCTGTCGCCCTTTTTCATACGGGGGAGAATAGTTGAAATTTGACAATGGCCCGCTAAAAGCAAAACCAAAATACAAGTAATTGTTGTATTTCGTCACCTGAATGCCAAAAGATTTAATAAACATCGTCGCTGAAATTAAAAAAGTCATAACTAATTCACAATTCAGTTTTTGATTGATATGATGGATTTCATCGAATTACAACTCCCACATCATTTAATGAAAAACAAAAATTTAGTCACGACTTTTTCCATTTCAGTTACGAAGTTGTTACGTCTTTTTGCATTGCAAGTGACGATTTCTTGAGTCGATACCACCTTATATGTATTCGCCTTGGATCAAAGCTAGACATCTTTTTTAATATTCGTTTATGTCTGTGAATAAAAATTTTAAATTTTTGAAATATCACTTATGAGAAATATCACAAAATGTTGATATTTCAGTGCTCGTTAACTTGACAATGAACAAAAAGACTCGTTAAAAGTAAATTTGAGCATTTTCTTGTTCTATATTCTTAATTGAAATAAACTGAGAGTATTGAATTAAACTCTAATAATAACAGTTGAAGTCATAAAATCGGTTTTAATTGTATCTGAATAAAATATATAGCCACAAAGTTGGCCGGGGTTAAATAATGTTGCTAATCTTTGCCCTACGCTGTTCGTGATATCTTGTGTATGTATACATATGTACGCACAGCTACATACACGTGTATGTAAATAGTTCTTACTTATCATATTTCTTCAAGTGTTATAAATTTGTCCCATCTTTGTCGTGTAAAATCTAAATTATAAAATTTGTACTTGGCGCTTGAGAAAATTTGTCTAACAACCAAACAAAAAAAAAAATATAAAAATACAACTTCTCCTCGTGCGGCTGTCACTGTCTTAGACATTTGTGATTTAATTCATGTGCTGTTATCTCTTTGCAGTCATATTAAAACGTAGGACACCGGTATGCCAGTTCGCCTCACCGCTGGACGTTGACATCCATAGCAACCCACAGGCAAGTAGCTAAAAATTATATACATACATACAAACTACATACATATGTCTGTCCGTACATTTGCATACTATTTATATATTCGTGAAGTTATCGATCTGTCGTCGATTTATTGTATATTAAAAATTCAGATCAATCATTTGTCCAAAATTTGTGATTTAGTTTTTTCAAGAAAATAAATACATTTCTTTTAAAATTACGTGCGAATTAAAGTGACCACTGTCGCTAGTGGAGCACTGCGCGCAAAAAAAACGCTGATAAGAAAAGTTTTATGTCCAATACTCTTATAATACATATATATATTGTGTTTCGTAACCACAGCACATCAGCTAAACTGCCCTTGAGTCGCCATAAAAACCTCATTTAAGGCCTTATAAATCCAAACTGAAAACCAAATGCAATCTTGTATACCTCCCTCTTTTAGTCATACTGTTTTCAAAGCCATTCCGCCTATTAAAATATTGCTGTGACCAACCGTACTTCTTTCGGAAGTACATATAGAACTTCCTTTTTAGCTCTTGTACTTCGTACGTCGCAGTACAGTCAAATGCACTTCTTTACAATATTTTGTACTTCAGGTCCAGTACTTCTCCGATCTTCTGGACGGTCGTCACATAGCCTGGGCGATAAATTCGTTCAACCCCTTCAAGTCGCCGGGGAACGATGGCATCATGCCTGCGCAGCTGCAAAGGGCTCTGGAGGTGTCGTGCAATTGGTTGGCTCCTATTTATGCGAACTGCGTGAGGACCGGGTACATCCCCAAGCGTTGGAGGGTAGTAAGTGTTGCGTTCATCCCGAAGGCCGGAAGAGGCTCTCATGTTTACTTTAGGGATTTTATGTCTATCCGTCTGTATTCGCTAGAGGGATTGATAGACCTGTACATAAGAAATGCGATTCCTCGTTAGTGTCTCCCAAGAACTCTGCATGGTTATTCCAAGGAAAGGTCTGCGGATACCGCCTTGTGCACATTGCTAAAGTAGTTAGAGGAAGCCTTCACGCATAAATATTATGCAGTAGGGGTCTTCCTGGATATCGAAGAGGCCTTCAACAATGTCACTGCAGAGGCAATAGTTAAGTCTATTCATAATATGGGGGTTGAAACCAACCTACAATAAGGCTTATCTGCAGCTTACTTCGTAACAGAACAGTTACGGCGGAGTGGGGGTCAGTGCTGCCGTTGAAAGTTTTCAGAAAGTCGCAAGAAAGAAGTCATTTAAGAAAAAAAGGTCACCATATTTATTACTTTTCTATACTATCTAATAAAAGAATAAATCTTGTAAATAAATAGTTGTTTATTTTAAACCAAAACATGTAAACATACATACATAACAGAAAAAGTAAAAAAAGTGTTGCAAACATACACATGAATCCAGTTTCAGCAAGGAGAAGAGTTGCATTTCCTTTAAGAGTTTTAAGTAAAGATTTTTTTATTTTTAATTTATTAAAATTCGGGTAAAAGGGTATTACCGCTTAAAAAGGGTAAAGTTTCCACTTTAGTCGCACAACGGCAAATCTGGTGGGGGAGCGCCTGCGTTCAGCGCAGAGTCGATAGGGGCACCCCGCAAGGTGGTGTCCTCTCTCCCCTCCTCTGGATTGGGGTCAAGAATGATAGGATACAAGATTGCGCCAACCGAGCTGAGAGCAACCGGGCGTGACGTCATCAAATTCCACAACGAACTCAACAAGAAGAAGAGGAAGAGTCTTACAAAAGGCATGGTTGCCAAGATTTGAATATGAAAGAGCGCCAAATTTTTATTGGTGTATTTAATGGACTTTATATGCATAAACAATTTTATTTAAGAATGCCGATGCAAATTAATATAAATCAATCTGGTGGCATAATTGAAGGTGCTGCTTAATATTTTGTTGGCAAACATATGCTCTTTCGCTTATGATTGCCATTGTGCCATGATTTTGTTTCCATTTTTAAAAAATTGCTTACGAAACTTACGATTGCTATAAATCTTTCATCTTCCATTTTTTTTTATACCCGAGCGCACTTGTGCACAAGGGTATTATAACTGTTGTTTGTAACAGGCAAAACAAATCGAGATAGATATAGACAAATGTATACATAAATGATCAGGATGAAAAGAGAAATCGATTAAGCGGTGACTGTCTGTCCGTCCGTCCGTCCGTCTGTGCACACCATAACTCCAGTAAAAATTATGATATCGTAACGAAACTTGGTACGTGTACTTCTTTCGGGCGTAGGACGGATGGCATTGAAAATGGGCAAAATCGGACAATAACCACGCCTACCTCCCATATAACGGTAATTTTCAGAAATACGAAAACTGCGATATTTTAGTAACTACTGAAGATTATTCACTCAAAATTGATATTTACAATAATTTTTAGACGAAAAATAAGAATATTATAAATTTTTGAAAAATGGGCGTAGCCACGCCCACTTATGGTTACATGTATATATCTTGGCAACCGCTGCACCGATTTCTTCCAAACTTGGCACAGTTGTTGGCCTTGGTACATCAATTTTTAAAATCGGACAATAACCACGCCCACATCCCATATAACGGTAATTTAGAGAAATACGAAATCTTCGATAAAGCAGTAAATATTAAAGCTAATTTATTCTAAATTGATGATTGCAGCACTTCTTTACCAAGAAATACGTTTATGATAAAATTTTGGAAAATGGGCGTGGCACCGCCCACTTATGATCACATATATGTATCTCGGTAACTGTTCACCAATTTGTACCAAACTCGGTATGGTTATTGTGCTTGCCACATAAAAGCAAAACTTTCAAAATTATTGAAATCGGACTAAAATTACCGCTTTTCATATAACGGTAAATTTTAGAAATGCTTGAAACTTCAATATTTCGAAACTTAAAGACGCTAGTTTACACAAAATTGGTAAACCCCGGATTACCATGTAGCGGCAGCTTTCGGGTATTTAATGTTCGGCTCCGCCCAAATTTAAACTTTCTTACTTGTTTAATTACAAATTTGGTACCATCACTCTAAAAACAAAAGCAGTAAATAGGCAACCAGCACCAAACTCAAAAATTTTCGCGTTTCGATTACGCACTAAATTTAGTGCGAAAAGCAGCAAGTTGGCAACAGTGAATGTAAACAGAAGTATTGTGTGACGGCAACGAATGGGTGGATGCTGTCAAATCGACGAAGAGAGGGTTAGCGGTCCGCGAGTGGCGCCACCTAAATTGTCTGCATCGTGGATTGCGATTGTAAACGACCTTCCAGGGCAGGCTTTCCGAAAGTGGGTGCCCCGAGCGTATGCCTAGGGTGCCGCTAGTGGCTAGAGTGCGGGTAAATTCTTTAAACTTTCCATACACAACGCAAGCGGTTTGTTCAAACTTCAACATGGCGTCCAGGAGATCAAAAAATTTTGATTTTTATTAAAATTTCCTTCAGCGGCTCGGCAAACCCCATACACAACACAAATGGCTTGCAGCAAAGGCATATTTTTTCTTGGTTTGTCAAGCCGCTTGTGTGGTGTAGTTCGCTCTTAAGCGTAGTTCCCCAGTAAGCGTAGTTCCCCAGTACGTTTTTCTTTGGAACTTCACAATCGCACTGTGAAAGAGCGAATCAACATGATTTTAGAGGCAGTCGAAAACGAAGTTATAAAAAGTTTGAAAACTTTAAAGCTATCGAAAAATTTGTACAGGAAAATGGTTTCAAATGGAGCTAGTGTGCGGATATTTGCAGTGGTTGGCAAAACGAAAGGAGCGATGTCTAGGATGACGCAAGAGGCAGAAAACGTCACGAGAAGGCACTGTATGATCCGTCGGTATTCCCTAGCGACTAGCCGGGCCGCCACTAGATTAAAAACCCGAAGATAAAATACATCTTTGGTTTTTTCTACCACGTCGAATTTTTTTTATCGGTGACATGTATATTTTAGAATTTCCAGCAATTTGCGTGAAAATCAGAAAAACGTACATATTTAACTTCGAGATTTAAATGGAAAATCATTTTTAATTTGATTTATTTCGTGAAATTGGCTGTAAAAGTTATTTTCTTAGTGTTAACGCACATTTCCAGCGTTAACTTGGAAGGTTTGACTCTGAGGATGTCTACAGCTGGATATGAAACCCGTTTTCATGTGACCCGAAAAGTAAACCTACTGAGATGACAAATTAAGCTCTTGAAAACCTTCTGGACATCAGTGAAGACAGCACTTTGAATATTATGTACTACGAAGGGAGCCAAGAGGGTTCTGGATGAGAGTGTAAACAGAAAACACTGCTGTTGGCAAGATTGACTTGAGGCTGCATTTTCAACAAATGCTTATATGAACAAGTAATTTTTAAGCAAAAAACTAAACCGATTTCAATTCCCATATAAAAAATTAAGATTATCGTTAATCTCTTCATGATCCAATGATAAGATTTAAACCAACTTAGAATGGGACCACCTGTGAGGAAACACCTTTCCTTAAAAAAAAAGAATTCTAGTAATCGGTTAACGTGGTCCAAGTTATGCGGTAGCATACATAAAAAAATAATGAAAAAATATTCCGACGAATTGATAACCTTCTCCTTTTTGTGAAGTTGGTTAAAAACAAATACACCAGCAAGCTTTCAGCGTCAAATGGTTTCAGGGTAAAATTGTCAAAGCTCTCAATAAACTTAAAGGAAGTAATGAAATCCTCACATTAAAGCCAAAGGAGCATAAAGTTCGCATTGTGTTTTCTTGTTTTCGTAGACATTTTAAGATTAGGGGTGCCGCGAAATTTTTTTAGCACAACAAGGGTGCCGCGGTGAAAAAAGTTTGGGAACCCTTGTTCTAGGGTAACTAGCTGTCGCGTGATTGCCTACATAGGCATAGATGATGTGGAACTTTTGGTTAAGGGACGATTTCTAGACTCCTTTTTGATCTGGCTCAAGGTTACCTGAGCCAGGTAACGAGGTGGGCGATCAACGGCGGCCTCGCAGTAAATCCCAGCAAGTCGAAACTGGTCTTGTTTATCAGGAAGTGCAAGATACCCGTTGTGGCCCCTCCCTCAAGTGGGGG